CTTTGTTCATTTATTTCTTAACTTTTATTTATTGTTAATTTTTTGAAATCTCAGATTTTTGTTTTGATATATCATTTGACTCTTATTATTATTATTTAATGAGTGTAGAAGGAATGAAAGTAGTTGGAGTGGAGAGAAGTTAAGAGAAGTTCAGGAAGTCGGAAGAACAGAGTAAAACAACTGTTCCTGATGATTTTTCTATTTTATTATTATTTTTTTCATTCTCTCTTATTCTCAATTACTTTATAGCATTTTCTTGTTCTCAATAGGTAAATGAGATGACAGTGAACAATTATCATTGAGTTAATTAATGAAAAGCTGGAATCATTAGCTGATTGGTAATTAGTATGAATTTTTTTAAACTTTAATTTTCAATTGATATTGAATTGCTATCATCATCACGTTCTAATTTTGGTAATTACAACAGTCTTATAAAAACTTGAGATAAATTGATTATTGTATTTTTTTTAATTTTTGATAATAATTCAATGTTTGTTATTACTAGTAATTTTTGGTAATAATTTAATATCCATTATTGATACTAACAATTGCAAAAAAATGATTGAAAATTTTTTGAATTGATGAAAATAGCTTTAAATCATAATGAAGTTCATGTAATATTATATTGTGCACGACAAATTTTGTCATAATTTTATATTTACATATGCGTACTTCGTAATGATACCTTAGTAGTATATATTTCACATTTTAAGATTTACAATAATTTATATTATTGCATAAAATTTTGATCAATATATTTGAAAACTTTTTCAAGTGCTGATATTGTTTACCATATAATTGCGCAAATAACTTATGATCAAAAATTATTACTTATAAACAAATGAATCATTGTTATCGTTTATCGAATTATTCCTTTCTTCTTATCAAATAACGACATTTATTGAAAACAACCACATTTAAAGTTTTATAAATTTATTTTAATTAATTAAAATACATGAATTATTTTATATAAATTCAATGCACCAGATATTATATAATTGCATTTCATTTCGTATTGACTTTTGATTCAATCGTAAAATGCAAACAATCTCTGATGTGTTAACCTTGGCCTTTATCGATCACCTCTAAAACTTACTAAAATGGGTAACTTCTTGCAAAATATCATTCCGATGATATCCTCGTCATATTTATCCTTTTCGCTGATTCTTCCACTTCCCCTCCCTCCCCCCTCCCCCTCCCTCCACTAACCGCTTTATTTTCTTTCATATATGTGACAGATAAATATGTTGCGGTTTATATGAACACATTCATGCAACGCTATTATATTTACATAATTAATTAATTTTAAAATGGTTAAATTCAATTCGCATATTTACATTAAACGAAATTAAGCTTAGATAATTTTTTTTTTCAACGCTTTTTGTTTCTTTCATTTCCTAAGTATATTTTATCCATGGATATTAAAAATTATTGCATTATTAAATTTTTTCTTTCCCATCTTCTTTTTCTTTGTTTTTTTTTTTTGTTAATTTTTCATATATTTTGGAGAAATTAGCTGAAATGAATAAATCAGACTAATTGGTGTTCGTTTAAATTTGCCGGTTTTTTTTTTTAATTCTATTTCAGAAAAATTTCCGCCATAATAGCAAATAAATCAATTTCATAATTCAATTATAAATTATGTCAATAACAATTAGTAATGTATTTGGTTTACTTGGACATACAATTGGTTCACATCCAATTTTGTTTATATTTTTATCGCTTTCATTTTTCAGTGTATCACTTCTTGGACCATTACTGCGGTAAATTTCTTATTTAATTTTAATATTTTTATAGCTTACAATTTTTTTTTTTGTTAAATTATAATTGAACAATATGAATAAGGATATTTTTTTTTCTCATTTTGACTAAATTTTTTTATAGCACATTTTAAAAACTTGAAAAAAAAATTAGAAATGATGATTTATTTGTCATTTTTTTTATTGTTTCTTTTTTATAGATTAGATATAAGAGTGGATATTAAATCAGGTTTTAGTCGCAGTGATACTGCCTCAATCCAAGAAATCAATGCTCATAAACGTTTCTTCAATAACACGGTATTTCATTTATTCTAATTTATAACATTTTAATAGGATGATAATTCAATCTTAAACAGTTTGATTGAAAACTGTCATTGGAATAAAATATTTGTTTAATTTTTTAGAAAAGAAAAATATCATTATTTCACACATTAATTCTTATTTATTTTAACATGAAAAGAAATCCTAAAAATTAAAGAGAAATTTCAATTCATATTACCAATAGAAATTGCGAAATAATAAAATGATTGATGATGAATTGGTAATAATTATTATTTATTTTAAGTTGAAAAGAAAATCTCAATAAAATTAACGATGAAATTATTTTGTTCAGCAATCTATAATAGCAGCTTTACACATAAAAAATAAACAAATTTTGCAAGTTGAAATGATTGAAAAATTGGCGATCAATTGCAAGATAAATTATCAATTCAACTGACTATAAAATTTAATTATCAATAATTATAGTATAAAGTTTGATTAAAATAAGATGTTTGTTAAATTTCAATAAAATTATTTCATTAAAATTTTTAGGGTGATCCATGGTATATGGCATTATTTGCAACAGTTAATAATGGATCAATCTTAGAAACAGCAAAAATTGATGAATTAACCACATTTTATAAGTATATTACTCAAACAATGCCAGTAAATGTTGACAAATCAACCGTACATTATCGAAATGATTTGTGTGAACCATTTTGTAATTTTAATTCACAGCTTTGGAATCTTTTGGTACAATTTTTTCTTCGCTTTATAATTACAGTCTGAATGATTATTTTATTTCAGTTTTTTTCTTTAATTTTAATTATAATTTCATGCAATTAATGGAAGTGAAAGAAAAAAGGAGAAAAAAACAAACAATGAATATACCTTGATCTATGAGCTTAGAGTAGTGTTTAGCCTAATTTGATTTATTTTTTTTAATAAATAATTTGTAGTATTTTCTTGCAGAATTATCAATCATTTTTCAAAATTTTTTATCCATTATCAACAGTTGGACCATATAAAGTGAACATTGGTCGGCATCTCTTTAATCGTACTATCGATGAACAAGGTTAATTGATAAACTCTTTAAATTAAAAAAAATTTTAAATGAACTAGTCTCGTGAATAAAATTTTGAATATCAAAAGAGTTTGGTGCTTTCGTTAATTTTTTTAAAATTTT